TTCCCCCCCCCCCCGCTTGCGGGGGGGGTCAGGGGGGATCCGCGCCAAGGGAGGACTTGGAAAGTGGGTGAAACGGTGCACAAACAGACTGTTTGAGTGTGGCCTTTAGAACCTTCTTTTCAATGCTCCGTCTTTCTCAGTTTCCACTAACTCGAGGTGAATTTTCGGCATTTCCTGAATTCGGGAACCAGACCTAATATCTTCCAAAACGCCCATTTACTATAATTATAATTAAAAAATTATAAAATATAGTAAATTAATTCTATATTTAGACGGGGTGAGGGTGGGAAAGGTCTGCCCCGTTTATTCTTATAAACATGTGATTTGTTTATCACGCATTGTTGGCAAGTTTTATATTATTTATTCATTTGAACTATTATTTGTTTTTTTTGTTAAGATAATGAGGATATGGTGAGACAAGTTTGTCTTAAATGGAATAGTTTGACTTAAATGGTTCATGTTAATGGTTTAAAACTAATTATAATAGTAAACAGTGGTTTAAACTAGAAAAAAAATATAATAATTAAATAGAATAATATTTAAATTATTATTAATTCTATAGTTTTATGTAAGAGTCGAATCTTTAATAATAAAACCCAAACACATTTTAAGTATTGTTTTGTATGTTTCAACGTGTTTGTCTCGTTGAGTTCAAACACGTCAAACCATACACTGTCTTATTCATAAACGGTTGTATTACTTTATTTTTATTGCAAATACAATAAATTGGCAATATTTCCTATCGCGATGAGGAAATACTGCTATTGACTTTAAACCAAATAACATTCATAAAAACGAATGAATGTTTTTCATTTATTATTCATTTCTCACTTTGGGGAGGTTAGACCGAATTTATAATTGAATAATATTTGAAAAGTTATGGTGACTTTATAGGATAAATCTTAATAACACATTTTATTATTTGTGATTACATTAAAATGTTAATGATCATCATCGCGTGATAGTTTATAGTTATCTTTACTAATTTCATAGCTTTCTTATTCTTTATGTGTGTTTGGGTTTTTGACTTGCTTTTAATTATTCAATTTTTTATATAAATTTGATTATAAAAAAGAAAATAATTAGTTCGAGTTATAGTTCAAATTTTTATTATAATTGAACTATAATTTATACCATTTAACCCAAACTTGTCGTTTTAGTTAAACTTGTCATACTGTATAGTTGAAAAGAATATTTGGGGTTTCAAATAAAAAAAAAGTCCACACAAAATAATTAATCCACACAGATAAACTATTTCAGTGAGAATTTGGTTGGTTATTTTTAAAGGATTAAAAAGAATTGGTCCTTCTATAACAACTATCAAGTTATTAAATAAATTAATCAATTATTACAAATTCAAAAATATATTAATTATTCAATTAATACAAATAATTGAAAAATAACATTATTAATATAGCACTTTAATAATAAAAAAATAAAATAAAGTAGAAGGTCAACAAATCAAAAAAAAAACAATATTTAATTAAATAACATATGACGACCTAACAAATATCGTAACGGCACAAAAAACCAATGAAATACGAGCAAAAAAAAGAAAAAATCCAAAAGAAACTTGAAAACAGTAAAGTGAGATGTCTAAAGTCTATCACACAGATGGGAAGACAATAACAGTCAACAGTTTGTAAAACCATTTTTGCGTGTTTTTATGTCACCGACTCACATGTAGCTGACTATTGTATTGGGTGTGGTTTGTTTACATTATTACGTCAGAGTTCAATACATTAAGGGTGAAAGGAAACGAATCGTACAAAGAGAAATAACAGAAAGGTGCGTGTGTCGACATCTGTCCAACGGGAGTTCTTGATATCGTCAATAAAAAGAGCACCCCTGTTAACATCGATAATTGTTGCAAGTGCAGAGAGTGCACACGTGTGTGTCCTGTCGATGCGCTCACGGTCGACTAATGCTGTGTCTTTTATTGAGTGTTTTTCTACGAAGGTTGTCGTTACTTAATGACTGATTTTTTCCATTTGTCTTTTTACACACAAGATGAACACTTTTTTGTAAGGGAACAATCAGGATAGAAGTTGAATCAGGTTTTCTAAGTTAAGTTTGGATAGAGTTAATAAAGTTGTCTTCGAAGAACCACTGTGATTGAAAAACGACTTGTCATGTTGTAAGTAAGTATTCTTAAATATATCGAACTTGATATGTTGTTGTCTTGTTAGAATAGACAAACTTGAATGGTAGTTGTTCTAATTTATATCAATTATTAAGAAATATTCGTTATAAAACTATTTTTAAAAAAAGTTGGTTTGAATTAATTAATTTTTAAGTATTAAGTTTTTATCTTGAATTTATAGTTTTAATCATTTTAGTTTATAGTATTAAATTATAATAGATTATTATAACTGTAACTTATTATTTTATATTATTAATAAACTATTTTTATTTATTATTTAACATTTCTTAAAATATCAAATTGTTGTAATTATGATAAATATATAAAATGTTTATCAATTATCATTTAAAATATACCTTATAATATTTGTAATTATTGACTAAATACTTGCTATTAATATTAAACACACTAAACAATTACAGGTGGTGAGAAAATTAAAAATATTCATTGTGATTTATGAAATGATAAAATACTCGATGTGTTATTTTGAAAATAAAATTATTAACAATAATTATGCAATTTATGACTAATTTTTAAAAAGTTGCGATAAAAAATTATCGCAATAAAAACCAAAACAAAAAAATGACAAATCAAATTATCCAATTTCATTAGCTATTCGAAAAAGAACGTAAAAATATTTATTTTAGAAAAATAATGTATTTATTATTATTATAATAAATGCATGTTTGTTACTTATGTTATCAAGAGAGACGAATATCATTGCTTTAACACATGCTATTTTATTGTAAATATACTAAAATAATTTACACATTTATATTTTTAAAATAATTAAACAATTTTTTACATTTTTATTTTATTTAATCGTTATTAAAAATATGGTTTATTTTAATTTATTATTATTATAAAATAAAAAGCCAAAAAAATTAATAACAATTTATAAAAATAAAAATTATTAATAAATAAAATTTTACATATCACAAAACTATATTAGAATTAAAAATAATTATATTATTTTAGTAAAATAAAAATATTTATTATAAATCTAATAATATTATTATCCAATAATAATTTACAACAAAATTTATCAAAAAAAAATAAATGTATTTTAAAAAACATTTTATTTCTTTATAATAATGGTTAAAACATTTTAATTAGAAAAATAACTAACTATAAACATGAATCGCAAATAAAAAAATATATCAAAAACACCCAATGAAACCATAAAAATTATATAATTTGGTTTTATCTAAAAAAACCCCCAAAGGGAAGAACTAAGAAATATTAATAAATCAAATTTTTAAAAATTAAATAATTATAGTTCAATAACTATAATAAATAACAAATGGATTTTTTAAAACAAAAAACAAAATTATTTCCAGCAATTTGGTCAAACACTTATTTGCGATATTTTTAGATAATTATAATATTTTGAAATATTTAGACGAATTGTCGCAACAATTCCATTATTAACAAGCACAAATCATTCCTTTTTTCGTTGAAGTTTTTCTGAGTTCGTAATCATACATCAAGATTTAAATGAACACAAAATGAATATTAGATCACATCATGGTATGAAGTCGGAAATTAGTAAATAATTAATACAGATAAGACCAGACATGGAATGAAAATTGACAAACAACTTAATAATGTAAAATTAAAAATGTCCTTTTAATAACAAAGTAATTGATAATAGTTAAAATAAATAATTAAAATAATCGTGCAAGTTTTTGCCGATAAAGTACCAATCAATGATACTTCTTCATGATTATAAACAATTTTGAAAAAACAATCCTCCAAATAACCTCGAAATTTGGACATTGATGTGCGAATGTTTCTCAATAAGAAAGATGGAATTCATTCTGTTGGTGGAGAAGGGTTTGCGAGTGTTCAAAAAGGCTACTTTGATGATTTGACTTTTAGGCATTGTGACTTCCAAACAATTACTTTAATTTTTCCAACCATTTACTATAAAACAATTTTATCACAGTCCAAACGTGAAATTGAAATCATTTTATTTTTGCATTTTTTATGGATTTTTGAATCAATTTTATTCTTGGAACAAAAAAATAAAAAGTTCTGTCCAAATGGAGAAGACTACTCTCTGTGAAAAGGAAGTGATGCGGAAGTACTATGGTCAACAAGAGCGCGTGCGCAAGAGAATGAATTTCGAAGCGTCGCTCATTTCCTATATTTTGGCATTAATCACCGATGATGTTGAGCTTGAGATCTGCCAACCTCACACATATGCCACAAAAACCGTGCCCTTTGTGAATATCAAAACGTTGACAATTGATGGTGATCAACTCGACTTTCAAAAATTTCTATTTGATCATTTAGAGGAGCGAGCGTTGTATGACAAGAAAGAAGGAGTTATAGAAAAAACAGTGACTCGAAGAACACAGACACGAAGAAGAAAAGACACAATTTATTTTTTCGAAGACATTCTTTTTGAAAAAAGGAAGTGCATAATACAAAGAATCAATTCAACAACGTTTGTTGTGCAACTTACAAATGATAACTTCCCAATTGTAATCGCGACTAAGCAAGACATTCTTGTTTTTGGCTCAAAAATTGCTTATGCAATCAACCAAAAAGTGAAAAAAGAAAAGATTTACAAAATTGCAAAGGGTGAATTGGGAGAATTTATATAACACTTGTCTATTTTATCATTGAATGTCTATTTTAAAGAAGAGTTAAACAACTTTAAGTTTCTTTTGGTTTTGATTCGACTCGAAAACTTCAGAACTGCTGGCAGTGAGTGCAAATATACAAAATAGAAATACAAAAAGGTGCATTTCTGAATGCCGAAAATTGTTTTCACAAGAAGAATGTTTTAATTATTAAATTAATCACTGTATTATAGTATATATAAACATTTGCAAAAACTTTAATACGTTCATTGTAATTAAAACGATAATGTTCACTTGAAAGGTAAACTGATATTCCTTATGTTTGACAATCGTTCAGGCAATTATCTTACACAAAAAAACTTTTATATTTTTTATAATTAGTAACATAAAAATCTGTTTAAAAATACTTTGTTTATCTTTAATTAAAAAACTCTTTGTTTTTTGAAAACTCTTGATTTTCAAAAAAAAGATAATGAACAATAAAGAGTCATTAGTTTTGTATTATAACAATATAAATAAATTGTTATAATATATAATACATTTTATTTTTACTTGTGAGGTATTTGAAAAAACCCTACAATAAAATATATTAGTAATAATCCTATTACTAACACCCTTTCAATTTGAATTTACTTTCGGAAGAGGTACCCCAAGTTGTTGATGAAATGAATAACAAATCCACTTTTGACCATAAAATGGTTAGTTAAAAGTAACTTTTTTGGATTAATGTTTTTTCATTTTCAGAACAAATGAAATGTCTTCTTTGTTTTTGAACTATCGAAGTATGGTATTATAATATAGAATACTATTTAAATAACTTTTAAAAAAAGGATTTTGTGTGGAGAGTATATTTGAAAGAAGCGAATTGTAGACCAATTGAATTTGTATTTATTTCAAGTACATTTAACGAAATAGGCAAAATATTTAACAAACTACTTTCAATGTATATAAGACTACTTATTATATCATTTTCTATCAAGTTAATTGTGATGATGTATAAGAATAAATTATAAAGTTTGTAAATATCACTTTTTGTGTTTGGAAAAAAATTGACTTCGAAGTTAATAACTTCGACTATTTCATTGTTATTAATGTGGTGGTTGTAGGTGTTGTATGTATTATATATATTTGTATAACTTTTAATTTATTAATACTGAGAAAATTATTTTAATGTTTTTTTTAACAATAAGTTATAATATGTACTACATCATTTACGCCTTGTGAGTCAAAAAACGTTGAAATAGTAGCTTAACCTTATGCTGAACTAAGCCTTATTAAACACTTGTATATTTATTATTTTCAATAGTACTAATTTAATTTATTAGTTACATTAAATTTCAAAAATAACAAAAATTTTTATATTCAACTATTGAAATAGTTTAATTTAATCAAAAATTACTTATAAAAGTTATATATAAGGTTGAGTATTATGGCTAAAATGTAAATTGTTGATTTACAATAACACTCATTTTATTATAAAAGTACAATAAAATGTAAATAAATAGTTCAGAAGATAAATGACTAAAACAAATTAAT